CGTATATTTCTTTGTATATGAATCCTTAATTTATTTTATTCTTATGAAGCCCAATGGGTGGCTAAATGTGCTTATTTCACATTACTTGTGACTATAATTTATATTTTGGGGTGTTTGGGTATTTCTTTCTCCCTTTACTACTGATATTTTGATCATACACTACGAAGAAATGTATGTAAAAAGTGCTTGTCGTTTCATTGTGAGATTCGCCTCTATACATTATTAATTAACCTGGACGTAATGTTTCCTTCATTTCATTTCGTTTGATTTTGATATCACAGCTCCTGTGATAGAGCTCTAGAGCCATGGCGTAAAGTTTCACCATTTGAAATCGCGTGTCATTCTCTCAAAAAATCATTTGTTGCTTGCGTCATATCCACTTTGAAAAATCTTTTCAAGCGTTTCTGCAGAACAAAGAAATAGTACTTAAGAGATTGAGGAGCAGTGAAATGGCTAAACGACTACCTCTAAGGTGATGAAGTATATTTTGGCTTGACAGATATTTTTAATCACAGTTCGAGTATTCTTATGAGTGGGTGATGTAGTGTTTGACGCTGATTGGCCGAGAGCCTGAAGCCCTCTTAAGCCCTCTGAAGACTCCTATAGGTCAAGTATCAAATCAGGAAGCAGTAAATAATTGCTAGTTTTATGTGTTGATGAATCTAATCAACATTTGATTGCCAATACATCTTATACTCTCATCTGTACTTGAGTTTTGCTTCAACGTTTTCAGAATTTCTTGATAGACTAATTGATAAGAAGTGAAAATTGACACTTTTCTGGTTAGATAATTCAAATCATTTGTAGTAGGACCGCGACGTTTCGACTTCAAACTGCTAGTCTTCATCAGGCAATGGTTTAGGCTGGATGGTGTGTCTGTTATTTGGCCACTCGTCAGAAGATCTGTGCTGTGATTGGTTTGTCGATTCGTGCTGTGATTGGCTGTTTGGTTGTTATGTCTCCGTCCTAAGTGTTTTGTTATTGCCGCGGTATCCACACTTCAGGGATTTCTATACCACTGTCCCTATTGGTGGTCTCGATCTATACATTGAAAATCCTCCCAGCCAGGGCAATGTACAGTCTTGTAAGCATGTTTGATTACTGCTAAGATCTCTATAC